AGGCCCTGGTGAGCCTTCGCGTGAGTGTGTGCAGACAGCACAGTGTTCTCGCTGATACACAACACCAATGAGTCCTTGTGGGTTTGCCGCTCCTGTGATGCGATGATGCTGAGCTCTGCTGATGGTGGTGATACGTACCCGTTTGACCTCTCATTGCTCAGAGCAGGAGTAAACAGACGGGGAGAACAAAAGAGTTTGAGGATGCAGTGTTCTTTTCAAAGTGACCTTAGCTCTTTTTACATCCCAGAAACACCCCAAAAACTTGTTCAGTATTGCTGCCAAAGCTGAAAGTTCATTTTAGAGCACCTGCGTAATAATAGAAACAGACTCAGTGTACCAACTATCAACACACATCACAAATAATTCAGTTCTTATTCTCAAAGGCGTGTGTGTCTATATCCCAGAACCCATTTCTTCAAGTCCTCAAGGCTTTTGGCTCATATGCTATATTAGATCAGTTTTTTTGCGTTATAATAGACCAACACTTGGCTGTTTGCGCAACCATAAATGAAACTGTCTAGAAACACAAAAGCATGAACAAAATGGAACTATCCTTGCAAAAAAAGTAAGTCTTTCATTTGAGCCTTTAAATATTTCCTCTAGTCGTTTCCTCAGTTACCTGCTGTAGTTGACACTTTTTATAACTAGTCTGTGCTCATTGCTCTGCTATCTTTTCTGAAAACAGCTCATCCACAGTTTTAGACTACAGTGTGTAGTTTAGAGAACAGGGGGAATACAGCTATTTTAGCTGGAACATGTAGAGCTCTGTAAGACTTAGAAATCAATTACACTGCCAGGGGCATGTAGATGCTGCCGGTAATTGTGTCCCCAGTCAACAGGAAGCAGTTGAATATGGCCTAGATCTGTTAGCATTTAGAGTTTTTTAGGATTGCACCCAGTGTGACAATTGAACAGCTTAGTGCTTCTGAATATTAGTATTCACTTGTTATTGCTGCGGCTGGCCCCCGCATCTATTTTTGGCAGACGATAGCAGAGCTGGAACAACGTTGTGGTGGTATTCATTATTCCCTGGGTGCTAAATAAAGAGGCACAGTACACTCAGTGCTCTTTTTGTCTCTCCCTGTGTCTTAAGCATACACACAGTATATTTCTTTAACATATATAGTGTGTCTTTGTTTGCTATGCACACATGCAGTTTTTGTCTTTCTGTTATGCTCATTCTCGCTCAATGGAGTCATCTGTTTCCAGGTCTGGCTGAGAGATTGTTGACCTGCTTATGGTGGAAGGTGCCTTTTCGAGTGTGCAGTGAAAAGCCCTGGTTTGGATTTACCATGCATAGAGAATGAAGTATCAAAGCCGGTCTTTGTCTCCTATTCATATTCCTCTCTTCACCATATTGTACCTCCTGTTGCAAGTCCACCATTAGTAGACACAACTTAAGTGCTCATCATGAATGTCATCACAAATGCAAAATGGGTACCAATAAATGGCTGAGCTACATGGTAAAAAATGTAATTTACTTTTAGGGTATTTATTTAGAAATGTACTGAATTGTAAGCATAAATCCCCATTGGACATTGACAGAGGGACATTATGGCAAATGCTTCAGACAAACATGAATGGCTTTGGTGATTAGCCTTCCTCTTTATTTTTAGGCCACGCTGTATGTATGATGAAAAAGTTCTCTGTTCCCACATGTTGATTGGGGGGAATGAGGCCAGGGTTTCCATGGTGATGCTTGTAACCTAGTCTGTCTCTGAGGGTCTGAGAATTGTTCTCCATTGTCCTCCAGAGAAGAGATGGAGAAAAGAGGGTGAAATTGAGAGAAAGAGAGTCGTCACAGCTCGGCTTGAGCTATACAAGTGAGAGATGATATACACATGTGAAAGATAGACCATTGTTATTAAAATAACACATTTCCGTTGCTACTTTTGATTGTGGCATGTTCACGAATCCATGCAGGGAGATAAAGGAAAGACCTCTCTGTCACTTGATTCAGTGTTGTATGAAAATATGGCTTAATGGAGCTGTAAAATCATATATGATTGCTAGAGATTTTTATAAAAAAATCTAACTCAGAATCATATGCAGTCCATCCAAGATTGAGAAGCTCTGCATCTTAGGTATTCAGAATAACTTTTGGGTAATTCTCTTTTTTCATTCTGGCACTCAGCTGTCTGCACCCTGAGTCTAAGTGAAAGCGAACCAGCCAAATTTCAAAATGGAAATTTAAGTCAATTTCAAAGAGCCCCTGCTGCATCATCTGGTGCCCAGGTGCCGATGAATCCCTTTTCCAAACTCAAACTCAATAGCTCACACAGGCCTTCTTAACTGTCCATTACAAGTGATAAGATGCTCAAGCTCTGAGGCACAGGCACCTCCTTCTGTATTGGTTATGTATCATTGTGTTAGTACTTACCTTAAAGTAATTCTACTCTTATCTTACATATAGCACAAGGCCATCTCAAGATATTTCTTTCTCTTATCACTGGTATTTATAGGACTAATTGGCAATCTTTTCTTGTGGTTTCACTTAGTAACAAAGTATTACATTTTGCAGTAGAAACAAAACATTAAAGTGAAGACAAGGCCAAGCCTGGAAATGGGCTGAGGTGGAGAAAACAAACTGTCACACATGCTTTTTGGGCTTTGAGCTTTTACCTCATTATATATTCTGGAAGAGACATCCTTGGAGAAGTCTTCAAAGATGCCAAAAAGCAGCTCTTTGTTCAAAGTGAATGCAGCAGTGATTGGATTTTGTTTGAACAATAGCAAAGCTTCATCAAAGTTGGATTGTCATTATTTCCAAAGACACGATGCGAGACCAGCGCAGAAAGTCTCATTTCCCCTGAGAAGGTGGAGAGACCAGACCTTAGGTATCTCCATGGGCTTTGACTTTGTTTAAGTGCCACACTCAAGTTTGAGTCTGAGCCTGAATATTGTGTTTTTAAATTAGTATGTGTGTACCACTTCGGGGTTCCTCAGAAGGGAAAAGTTTGAAACTTCATCCTGAATAAACAGAACCAGTAAGTATGTCATGCACATGCCAAAGTAGCATGGACTAATCTCTGGTAATCTGTTTCAGGTCATCATTTCCAGGACTCCAAACACTTTAAAGTTTCAGTCTTTTCCCTGTAATACAGTCATTCAATTCTTAGTCTTAGCTTGCTTGATTGAAATTGTTGCCTACAGATCTGATTTTCAACTGAGATTACTTGAGAAACAAAAATATAACCCACTGTATATTTCATCTATAAATCAAAATATTTGTAATTAATATGATAAAAAAATACCTTAATTACCTTAAATTACCTTAAAAGTAAAACAACTTCTGAGTTACAATCATTCTAGATACAAGTAAAGACAGTTCAGAGATAACCCAGCCCAACACTGTCATGGCTTACTGGGAAACTTGATGTCACTGAGCCATTGTTAATAAATTAGTATCACCTGTGCCTTTTCTGTTATGACAAGTCAGATTATCTGGTTCGAAAAAGGTCTATACCACTAGAATGAATGTTTAAATGAAACCCCTGCACACCCATAGTTCCCCAACACAGCTGTTTTCACTTATAATCACCTGATTAGGCAGCTGGCTAAATGTCTAATTATGCAGAGTAATTAAAAAAAAACACCTGTGTGGGTGTGTAGGGCCTTTAAACAATTCCACAGTGCACGATTTATGGCCAATACCAACATTTATTGCCGAGAAGGTAGTATGACTTTTCATGCGGCATAAAGCAAGTTATAGAAAAGGGTAGTAGTTACAGCGTGTAGTTTATCAGACTTTTAATGCAACACAGGCCCTAGACCATAGAGGACCCTTATAGAATTGCTCATTGTCAGTATTCTCCCTGGTGACAGTGTGACAAACACCCCATCACTCTGCAGAGAGGATGCCTGTTACTCTTCCTGAATTGGTCCTATATTTGTAACATTTTTCTACCTAGGTGGTGCATTGTTGTTCCACTGTGGCTCCAGCTTAAAAGAATATCTTAAATTGAGTTGTAATAATACATAATAGGTAGAGGAGGTGGAGGGTCAACCTCACTGACTGCCACTGTGCTATGAGACAACACACCAACGCTTTTTTTTTGTTAATAGAGGTGAATAAACAGTCATGCATCATGACTCCACAGCAGAACTATAACAGCAGACTTGGACTGAACCATTTGTGTTTGTTAAATCAGTCATTACCACCCAGTGTTCACTGACAGTTTTAATATCAACTATATTCTGTAAGATAAAGATTAAGCAATCTGTTGCTCTGTTTCCTCAAGCCATAGTTGTCCATCTTTTATTCATTGCCTTCAATCTTTGATTTTATCCTCCTTGACCTCCTGCTGGTTTCGACACAGCATGTAGGGTATCACAGCCATTTAGTTTGCGCAGTGGATGGTTGACATCGCAAATATTTCTATGACTCCGATCTGTGTTGACTGTTCCACCGTTTACAATTTAAACTTTCCTCTCCCTGCTCTAACATTTTGCTAATCGCCCTTTTACCCATTTAATTATCTCACACATTATACGCTTTTTGATTTATTTTCGCCTGTGGAACAAATACTTTGTCTCACTCTTTCTGTTTCTCTTTCTACGTCTATTTATGTCTGTGTTTATGCATCTTGTAGTTTATTGAAGAAGTAAATTTTAGTGAGCAAAAATGCTAATTCATCCCTTACTCATTTCTCATTTCTCATGACTCCAGATTTCATTTTTGTACAATATATTGTCTCTAAATTCTGCAGGGTAAGGGCAAAGTCCAAGAGGCTGAGTCATTCTTTTATCTCCCATTCTGCCCGTATCTGCAATTAAGTATGGTTAAAGCTGCTATTCACAGCCATCAGCTGCAACTGGTGAAGAAGTTGAACTGTGGATGGAGTGCTTGTTGGCTCCTGTTAAAGAAGAGATAATGATGATGATGTAGACCTACTTGTATTTTTGCCTGTATTTACTCATCAAGAACTTTCCCTAAAAGTTGAACTACAAATATACACCATGTCAACTTAAGATTTTTGTTGTCTCTGTCTCTTCGTCAGCAGGGACCCAGTTCATACGAGGATCCTGTCAGTCCCAGTTCAGCCAACATACAGCAGCCTCGAGATCGGCACAGTTTTGTCCAGGAACACTTCCAGGCTCAGTACAGGTGAGAAGCATAGCTGTGAGCAGCATGCTCAGATATTTAAAAAGCTTTGTTTTACTTCTGACGTGGCTGATTGTTCCTCGTTTGTTGGCCTTTACATTTCAAGATAATGTCAAATTCAGTGTTTCTTAGTCTTTGTAACTTTTAGAAATTCAAGTTAATGTATGTAGCCCAATATCACAAATTACAAATTTGCCTGAAGGGGCTCACAAAACCCTTTTAACTGGGAAAAAATGGAAGAAGGAAAGAGCAACAGGGAAGGGAATTTTCTCCCAGAAAAGACAGATATGCAGTAGATGTGTGTATGGAATAGAACAACTTAGCTTAGTTGATTAATGACTTACCATTAATCTTTTTGTGATTGTACTGTTAATTTATATGCTGATGATACTTTTATATACACATTGAAATTCAAGAGTCTAGACAAAGCCTCTCTCTTGCACTTCCAACACTCGAACAAAGGTGTTGGTATCTAACCCGGCTCCCTGCGGTAAGGACTCAGCCTACATGGGGTGCACATTGTACTAAGCTATCGAACACCCCCAGGAGTTGACATTCTGTCTCAAACCTTAAGGGCAGTAATTTATTAACTTGTTACCAAGTTTGTAGAATGCTGAAGTCAGATAGTTTGATATTTTTTCATATGATACTGTCTATCCGAAGCTTCTTAGAATTCTTCTGATTCTGATCCTGATTCTATCCTAAGCTTGTAATTCTTTTCTGTTATTGAGTAGATTGTCTTTTTTTTATTGTGCTTTGTGTTTTGCATTGCTTTGTTTTCAGTTTGTCCTTGTGAATGTTTGTTTTGGGATCCTGTTGGTTTGGTTTCCAGATATAACACATTTGACAAACATTTCTGTCAAAAGCATTTAACTCAAGGCTCTTGGTAAGAAGTGGGACAAGATTTTGGAAACTATTTTAAGTCCCTTATCAATTATGCAGTATACAGGCTGGATTCCACTGGGCATTATATCTAATGTCCTGAGGTTATGTTTAGATAAACAGAGAGCAGTACATACCATTAAAAAGAATGGGTACTCAGCACAGGTGAGAATGTATTTTCTCTCCTGTGGATAAGAATCAGTAGCTTGAGAAAGTAGGTCAGACAGACCTGTGAAGGATTCAGGGGATTCATCTTCAGTACTGGCTTCTGGCGCTCTTTGCTTCATTCAAAGTGTAAAGTAAAAATACATAGTCAAAATAGTAGAAATAGACCCTCTAATGCAATGTTTCTCAACATTTTTACTGTCAAGGACTGACAACTTGATACACATCAGGCTCCGGACCTGTATTTGACTAAGATGTAGTTATTCTATAACTGTAGATTGGCAGATTAAATTAGATAGAGTCTAAACCTATGAATAGTCATTCTTTCTCATACATTCAATCATTGGGCTAATTTTAAATCAATAGTAGTGTAATTAAAATATTCCTCTCAGGGGGTCCTCGGACACCATGTTAAGAACCACTATTCTGGACCTTTCAGTAACCTTCTTGGCACACTTAGCTTTGTAAATTTACTTCACCTCTTACCTTCAATTTTCACTTCTATCCTGAACAATGTAAACACAATAAAATATTGTGAAAGAAATATAGTTTGAAGAAAATGGCAGGCTTGTTTCATATCAGAGTTTATTGTTGTGATGGGAGAATCTGATTTGAAATGACTAACTTGGGGAGAGCAGGGGAGAAAAATGCGTTTCGAACTTTTAAAGAAGAAAGGAGGTAGGCTGAAGTCAAAATTTGGCCTTGATAAGAATTATTCCAGCTTTTTGTTACCCAGCATGACTAAAGCGTGTGTGTAGCTTTTATGTATCAGTGTGAGGTGACTGTCATTAGCAGTTAGGACAGAACAGTATGTTTCCACATCCAGCAAAATAACAAGACCGACAGCACAGATAACTTCTTTCCTGGGGAAAAAACGCTTTGAGAGGTAACATTTCATCTTTTTGGCATGGACTTGCTGACCACTCGCTCCTGCAATGTGAAATAACAAACTGACATCTAAACCAGACACAGCAAAGTTTCCCACTTCTACAAGGGAAATAAACAAGTAGAGTATGTGAGTCTCTCCTCACAGACTTTTGTAATGAACTCCAGCTTAGTGCATGCCCTCTGCTGGCTCAGACTTTCCCATGTACTAATGGGTCCAGGATGGGTATAACAGCCACTATGCAATACAGATCACTGATGTTTGATCTATATAGTAAGAGGTTGAGATTGACTATTAATGAGGGAGGTCAGTCATGGGGTTACTATTGTGTTAGAGTGTGGGAAGTGCGTGAGAGAGAGGCTTTGTCTAGTTAGTACTGCACAGCGCAGAGTCTGCAGAGAGTCATGTGTTTCAGCTTCTTATGTGTGTATAAATAATGCTTTTATTTTCCCTAGGTGGCAGTAAACTTAATATTTTTTGGTTTTTGGACTGTTTGTTGGATAAAATAAGAAATACATTTCCTTGGGCTCTAGGAAGTCCTAATATGTATTCTAATATATTTTTCACTTTTTTCGGACATATTAACGAGTAATTGACAAGAAACAAGAAAATAATCAATAACAGATATAATCGTTAGTTGTATCCCTAGTTTTCTTATCTGGTATTTATCTGTTATAACATGACATTGATATTAACATTGGTAACTGCTAAGCATTAATTAGGTAGCTTTAAATGCAGATAAACAGAAAACCCTCAAATTATTGACTTCAGATCAAATCACAAACTGTGGATTCAACAGTTCTCCTGGGATCACTTTCTGGAGCTGCCCCCAACTAAAGATATGCCTAGTTGACTATTAGTCAACAAGTTTTCACACTTTTATAATATGCTATTAATTTAATTATTTAAATATATGTATTCTAAGAGCCACCTGTTAAATGCTAACAGCGATAATGACGCTGAACTGAACATTCTGTAAATTCAACACAGTATAACCTCTCACAAGTCTCGTTCAAAATACTTAACTTCTAACCTCACAAAAACAAATACTTGCAGACTTATCAACATGATGAATAATTTATAAAGTACAGTACAGTTATAGTTAACTCGCTACGAATTTGCTTCTCTTCTGCCTCTCCTGTACCCGCCTGAAGCCATCGTGTCTTTGTTGTCACCGTAATCAGTCCTGGTCTGAGCCGCTGTAAATCATCTGGCTTCTGTCGGTCTTGGATGCTGTGAGCCAGGTTCCGTTGCCCGCTCATCCAACTAAGGTTCTTGTGCTCATTCTGGTGCCCCTCTCCCTGGAAGTATTATCTGCTGGGTCCCCTGCTTCAGGCCTGAAAACCTCCTCCTAAAGCTCTGTTAGCTGCAAAGTTATGTTATATAGTAATGTAAATAAACCTCCCAGTCTGGGTAAAATAAGCTAATAGGATGGCAAAGTAGCTAATGGCAACTAGTACAGTTAGCATATGCAACAGTGCAACGCTAAGGGGCTTCCTGTGTTACAAGAGAAAAGGTCTGTGGTGCAACAATCCCCTGATGCTTTCGACCCGGCTGCAGAATGGACTTTTGGTAAGCAAGTTTAGGCGCCCATTTATAGTCGGCATGTAAGTAAAGTCCAATTTTATTGATATAACCCAAACTCACAATTTACCTCAGGGGGCCTTACAATACTTTACCCAAGTTCGATATGGGCTCGAGTCAGATTGTCAAAGTGCACATTTTCCTTCATCACCACCCTGCTGTGAGAAGGTCAACCCCTCTGTTTCTGATATTGCTTATTAAAGTTTCATATTAGTTTTACTTTCTCACTCCCCTTCTCTTGCCTGTTTGAACTACTTTAAATTCCCATTCCTACTTTCAACCAGACAGCAAATGGATCTCGCTTAATCTAAAACATACATGGCTTTTGAACAAACAAGCATGAATAAGTAAATAAGAACCCAAAAACAAAGTGAATGTTGTGCTAGTCCCAGATGGTAATTGTGTCTCTGGGTAAAAAATGATCACGTTGCTTGCAGTCTGAATACACGGACAGAATTGCAGCCACCCCGGACAGTAGTTCTGTCATGTTTGGTGGAATGCACACAGCAGATTAGTATGTGAGCCAATAAATAGAAAGGTCAACCTGTGACACTCGTACAGTATTGACCACCAACTGCAAGGTTAACCAGCCATTCATTCATGGGATTATCTCATTTACTCACTGGCGGATGATGAATTGAGTGCTTACAGTCGGACTGTGTCCCTGCGGAGCCTCGTCTCCCATGATGACCTCAGCCTGACTATTTTAAAACGGCTTGCACTAAATCTATTTACTCAGTAAGTTGTAGCGACTCTTAGGGGTGAAGATGTTTGTTAAAGATCTCCTACAGTTTCTTTTTCATGTCTGTCGCTTCTTCAGTCTCTTCCCCATTCTCTCTCCCACTGTGCGCACACACACGCAGTGTTTATGTGACATCATCAGATTAGCTGCCAATTCTGATTAGAGTAACAACGCTTGGGGTAATGTAGGCCAATTCTGAGGCTGATAGAGACATTGGAATAAAACTGTTCTAACGTATGGTAATAGTTATGCCAAGAGACATGCATTTGTTTTTGTTTTTTTTCTATGATAATCTCTGTGACCAAAAACTGTTTTATTTATTAGTGGAGCTTTGACAATTGGGAGCATTTCCTATTGTGTTTACACCCTGCAACTTTTTAAAGTTGAAATACTACTAAGTGTGAAAAATACTTACTCAAGACAGAGAAGCTTTAGCAGTAACACGCCTCACAAATAACGGGGCAATGGAATAGGATCTGGTAAAGGGGATGTCAAATGTCAGTCGCCAATCCAGGCTCATCCACTGTCACATCCACTGGTTAACGCATTGCTTCTTGAACAGAACAAACGTGTAGCCAACTTTATTTTCTTTTTTGTCACATTGTCAGCCATCTTCATATGCTTTTTAATCTTTTTCAGCATCTTCTTTGGCCAGCTGACCTAAGAGAGTGTGTGTCACTGCACTCTGCTGGAATTTAATAGAAATACGACTGAATTGTATGTTCTCCACATAAAGCTCTAGAA